TCAGCGCCAGTGGTCGTTTGGGGTTCCTCGAAGCGGTACGGTGACAGATCGTGCGGTGACTTCGGAATCCCGCAAGACCTCGCCGTACCGTTCGGCACCGCGCCGTTTTGAGTCCAGAAGCCCCAGTCGCCTGAGTCATCTTTGGAGAACGACCCAAGTCCGAAAACCGTGCGGTCATTCCGGATTCCAACCGGCTCGCCACAGGGTGTGATCGCCGCAAACTGCAATATTGCAAGCATCCAGTGTGCCGGCAATGAGCGTCGCAGCAAATGCCAGGAGAGCGCTTCCGACTACACCCAGTTACACCGAGCTGCACCCAGCTACACCCAGTTGAAATTAGTCGCACCCAGCTGCATTCAGTTACACCCAGTTACACCCGGTCACACCCAATTGCACCCATATGGAATTAGTTACACCCACTTACACCCAGTTGCACGTCGTCTCACATAATTCCACCGAGCTACCGCACGTTCCAGTCTGATGCTGCAAATGGGCTTCGCACAATGCTGCAATTCATCCGAATGGGACTGACAGCGTCCCCCTCCTCGGAACACAGGGGGAAATTCAGCACAAGACGAATTGCAGAAGTTCTCCTGGGCCTCTGGCATCCCGCAAAGGCGAGACATCGACCCTCGATCCTCGTCACCACCTCGGTTCTCGTCCTTCGTGCATCGCCAAATTCTCGATCCTCGAAACCCAATCCTCGATTCTCATCAAAACGTCGTTCCTCGAGCCTCGTGAACACCTCGATTCTCAATCTTCCGCCATCGCGCCAGAAATTCGAAGCTAGAAGCCCGATCCACGATCCTCCTCCAAACATTGAACCTCTATCTTCGCCAATACCTCGAAAGTCGAATTCCGCTTCTCGATCCTCGCTCGACACACATCTACATTTCCAACAGTCCCATGCTCATCATCACCATCATCACCATCATCGTCATCACTATTTTGTTCTACATCATGACCATCATGACCATCATGATCATCATGATCATCATCATCATCATCATCATCACCATCATCATCATCATCATCATCATCATCATCATCATCTCCATCGCCATCACCATCACCATCACCATCACCATTATCATCATCCACGAAAGGGCTGGTTGGATTACGACTGGAGCCGTATACCCTATGTTTGTGCGGAGATCGTCGCTCGGGAACGATACATGATGGCTCTGAGGCCTGGTGGCCCTACCCCACGCCTGCCGCCGAAGGTGTTCTATTTTGGCAGGGGGGCACGCGTTTGGCGCGATACCATTCTAGTAACAAATAGACAAGGAGCCTTGTGCTACCAGAAACGTTCTCCTTTTCGCCTCACCTATCACACCACCACCAACCATACACCCAACACACCATCCACCCTATTTGTCTCCACACCTATATACCCTTATGTTTACATAACCACCACAGTGACACTCACTCCTCCGTACCCCTATTACTAGTCGATGTCAATCACTTATCACATCGAAAACCCACTCAAGCACCAGCTATCACGCATAAATCTAAACAATCATCAATCATCATCGTCGTCGTCGTCGTCATCATCAGCAGCATCATCAGTACAGTCATCCTCGCCATCTTCGCCACCATCATCATAACAATAATCAGAATCATTATCATTACCATAGTCACCATCATCATCACCATCATCTGCATCATCATCAGCATCATTATCACCACCATCATTACTATCATCACCATCATTGTCATCTTCATCAGCATCATCATCCTCATCCTCCTCATCCTCATCATCATCACCATCATCATCGTCACCATCATCATCCTCATCATCATCTCCATCGTCATCACCATCACCATCATCATTATTATCATCATCATCATCACCATCATCATCATCATCATCATCGGGACTTGCAAGAACACTCGCGAAACTGTAGGATCCTTCGAGGGCACGGCTGTCGGAGGCCAGATGGGGCCATGGAAGGCTTTTACGACGCCCAGCCCTCATCATCATCATCATCATCATCATCATCATCATCATCATCACCATCACCATCACCATCACCATCATCACCGTCATCATCATCATCACCATAATCTTCACCATCATCACCACCAGCATCACCACCATCATCATCACCACCATCGTCATCATCATGATTATTAGTATGATCATCGCCGTCAGCACCATCACCATGCTCATAGCCACCATCATCATCACCATCATCTTCATCATCACCACCATCATCATTACCACCGTCATTGAAAGAACCCGCGCGACACCGCGAGATCCATCAGGAGCAGAGCCATTTGCGGCCAGAGGAGGCCAGGCGAACCCCCCCCGCCCAGCGCCGAAGCTGGTCGGGCGGCGGGGGCTGGGGGAAAATCAGTACCAAGAGCTAGCTATGCACAGCATTTCCAACTTCCTCACCTTCAGCATCATCATCACGCCCGCCATCACCATTATCGTCATCGTCATCGTCATCGTCATCGTCATCGTCATCAGTATCATCATCCCCATCATCATCATCATCATCATCATCATCATCATCATCATCATCATCATTATCGTCATCATCATCATCATCATCATCACCGTCACCATCACCACCACCATCATCATCATCGTCGTCGTCGTCGTCTTCGTCGTCATCATCGTCATTGTCATCGTCACCGTCATCGTCACCGTCATCGTCATCGTCATCATCATTGACGTCGTCGCCGTCCTTCACGTCTGGCATCTTTCTGCCGCCCCCTTCTTCGATCATCTTTCGTCGCTTTTCAAACCTCCTCCGCCCTCCCTCCTGCCCTCCCTCCTCCACGCTTGGTCGTTTCCTCCTCGTCCTCTTGCTCTTCCTCCCTCGGCAGCTACAGCGAGTCCTACTTACTTCGCACGGTGTCGACAACAATATGAACCTCTCTGAACAACTATGCCACGGATTCTAAGTACGAGCATCGCCGTCACTGTCACCTTCACTGTCACCGTCACCGTCACCGTCGTCATCATCATCATCAGGATCTTCGCTATCATGGTCACCATCGTCATCGTCATCGTCGGCGTTGTTTTCGTCGTTGTCGCTGTTCATCTCATCATCATTATCATTATTTTCTTTATCACCCCCACCATCATCACCATCATCATCATTGTCACTACCATCATCATCATCATCATCATCATCATCATCATCATCATCATTGTCGTCATCGTCATCGTCATCATTGCCAGTATCGCCGTCGTCACCATCGGCATCAACAACGTCGCCACCATCACCATCAACAGCATCACCATCATCATCATCACCATCATTATCACCCTCATCATCATGATACTCGCCATCATGATCATCATTATCGTCGTCTTCGTCGTCGTGTTCGACGTCGTCGACGTGGTCGTCGTCGTCGTCGTCGCCGTCGTCGTCGTCGTCGTCGTCGTCGTCACCGCCATCATCGTCATTTGCAACGTTGCCAGCATCACCATCACAACCTTATCACGACCATCATCATCACCACCACCACTACCATCACCATCACCATCACCATCACCATCACCATCACCATCACCATCACCACCATCACCATCACCACTACCATCGTCATCACCACCATCACCATCATCACCATCATCACCATCGTCACCACCATCATCATCATCATCACCACCATCATCATGATCATAATCATGATCATGAACATCATTATCAGCATTATTGACATCAACATCATCATCCTGCTCATCATCATCATCATCATCATCATCATCATCATCATCATCATCATCATCATTATCATCATTACCATCACCATCGCCACTCGGCTCTGCTTGACACATGGATGCCTATGTGGGATGCCATCCCCTGGCGCCCTTCGAACTCGGGCGGCAGAAAGAAGGATATGGTGGTAAGGAGGAGACAGCGGGAGAAGGGGGGGAGCAGCAGCAGCATAAGCAGGAGGACACACGAGGAGGAGGCCGAGGAGGAATGAGGAAGAGGGAGGCGGAGAAGAGAGGAATAATAGCGGAATATGAAGAGGACAGGAGGAGGAGACAGAGGATGAGGAAGCTGTTGATAACGGGGCGGAGCCTGTTACACCCAGGTTCCCCTCAGTCCCTGGGAACAGGAGGAGGAGGAGGAGGAGGAGGAGGAGGAGGAGGAGGAGGAGGAGGAGGAGGAGGAGAGGGAGGAGGTGGAGGAGGAGGAGGAGAAGGAGGAGGAGGAGGAGGAGAAAGAGGGGAGGAGGAGGAGGATGAGGAGGATGAGGAGGATGAGGAGGAGGAGGAGGAGGAGGAGGAGGAGGAGGAGGAGGAGGAAGGTTTTGATAACGGAGCGACCCCTGTCACGCTCAGTTTCCCCTCAGTTTCTTGCAGTCTGAGCTGACGCAAATGGGGAAGTGCATGTAGCTCAGGACAAGCTAAGTGCAACTTAAAGAAACTGTGTGGAATTAAAGGAAGCTGCGTGTAACTGAGGGAAACTGGATGGAAACTCAGCGCGAAGGAAGAGTGGAATGTAACTGAGGGAAGTTGAGCGCAGCGGAGAAACTGATGGACTGAGCGTAACTGAGGGGAACTGAATGTAACTGAGGGACACTGAGTGCAACTGAGGGAAACTGAGTTCAACTGAGAGTAGAGAGCCAGCGCCGTCCGACGCCGCTCGGCCATCATGCAAAGATCAATCGCCGGGTGTGCGAAGCAGGGCGAAATCCCCACTGACTTGTCACACGCTGTGGTCGCCGCAGGGTCCCCCCAGACCCCCGACGTCACGACTCCTTCATGACGTAGACCCCGACCGATGTGGAGCCATTCCCCGGCGCCGCTTCTTCATGCCGAGACGTTTGTCGGGCGGCCCCAGGGCAGGCAAGAGCGAAACACCTCCCGCCATGTTCCGAGGGGGTGTGCGCCCGGGGGACCCCGAGTCGTGCGACCGCGCCAGTGGCGACGCTGAGGGTCCCGCCCCAGCGGTCGTGCGCGGCTGGCGGCCGCCCGCCGGGGCTGCTGGCGCTGGGCGGCCGAGGGCACCGCCCGGCGGCCGCCCGAGGAAGAGATGTACGTCGCTGACGTCGGCCGGCCTGGCCCCGACGGCGAGCCCGGCCAGGCCAAGGCACGCCGTAGTCGCCGCTGCCGCTGCCTTTGCCGCCGTCGTCGTCGTCGTCGTCGTCGTCGCCGTCGTCGCCGTCGTCGTCGTCGTCGTCGTCGATGTCGTCGTCGACGACGACGACAAGCCGTCGTCAGCGTTGTCGGCCGAGGGCTTTGGGGGCCGGTCGCCGTCGTCGTTGTCGTCGTCGACGACGACAACACGTCGTCGTCGTCGCCGCCGCCGCTGCCCTCGTCGTCGTCGTCGTCGCCGCGGCCGCTGCCCCCGTCGTCGTCGACGTCGCCGCCGCCGCCGCAGCCGCCGCCGCCGTCGTTGTTGTCGTCGCCGCCGCCGCCGACGCCGTCGCCGTTGTCGTCGCCGCCGCCGTTCGCCGTCGCCGTCGTCATTGTCGTCGCCGTCGACGACGACACGCCGTCGTCGCCGTCGTCGCCGTCGTCGTCGTCGTCGTCGTCGTCGTCGGCCGAGGGCTTCGGGGGCCCGGGCACGCTGGGCCCCTTCGTCCTGGGGTTGGCGCTGGGGCCGCTGGCGGCGCTCCTGGGGCTGCCTGGGGGGGAGGCCCGAAAGACGTGGATGGCGGTGGCGAAGATGATGACAGAAATGGTTCGAGTAGGGGATGGACTGCAGAATTAGATTTACCCCAGACTTGTTTTCTCCGTCGAATCCGCGAGCAATTGCGGAGGATGCTTCGAGATCTGCGGAGCATTCTACGCACTCTTCGTAGATCCGACGGAGCAATCAATCTCGGGGTGAATCAATTCTGTGGTAGACCTCCTAGTCGAGCAGTGAGTGACGCGTGCTGCTGCTGACGACGACGATGAGAACGATGGTGCGAATAATGCTGATCAGTGATCATCACGGCGATAATCGTCATGATGCGTATGATCATGACTACGACGCTGTTAGTTATGAGGGTGACAATGATGGCGGTGAGCATGACCAGGGTGGCACTGAGGTGACGATGCTGTCAACGACTACGACGACGACTACGACTACATCGATAATAATGATGATGAGAACAATAACGACGATGGGGATGATAATGATGATGCTGCTATTGATGACGATGATCATGATGATGCTGAAAATGCTCCACAGTGATCAGACATAGGATGATAATGACTGTTCTGATTATCATGCCGATTGCTACTGTTCTGAACAGGGGTATGAGACGGACGAAAAGGAGGAGGCGGGTGATGCGGGTATGGATGATGTGGATGAGGTGGAATATGGGGAGAGTTGCGAGACATGAATCTGGCTTCATCAGATAGGAAGATGGGGATGATGATGTAGGATCTTAAGAAGGAGTAGGATGGGGAGAAAGTTGATGAGGATGATCAGGAGGAGCAGGCGGACATGGTTCTTGATGCTTATGACGGCAATGACGACGACGATGCTGCCCATGATGACAATGTTGCTGCTGATACTGATGATTATAAGGATGACGATGGTCAGAATACTTATGGTGGTGATGGTGATGCTGATGGTGATGATGATGATGATGATGATGAGGTTGACGATGCCGATCAGGTTGATGCTGCTGCTGCTGATAATGCTGGCGACGATGACAATGATGATGATGATGATGATGATGGTGATGATGATGATGATGATGATAATGATGATGATGATGATGATGATGATGATGAGGGTCACGGCGAACACGACGACGACGATGCTGGTGCTGCTGCTGTTGATGATGATGATGCCGATGATGATGCTGATGCTGATGATGATGATGATGATGGTGGTGCTGATGATGCTGACGACCATGGTGATGATAATGATGGTGGTTGTTATGCTGACGATGCTGATGATCATGATGATTATGATGACGGCGATGATGATTGTGATGATGATGCTGATGAGGATGTGTATGATAGTCATGATGCCGACGGTGATGATGATGATGATACGGATGATCATGCTGATGCTGATGATGAGACTGCTGATCATGACGCAGACGCTGCTTCTGATGGTGATGACGATGATGCTGGTGATGATGATGACGATGCTGATGCTGATACTGATGATGCTGATGGCGGTGGTAGTGGTGAAGACGATGATGATGCGGATGCTGATGATCACGCTGATGATGCTGATGCTAATGAGGATGACGATGATGCTGCTGAAGGTGATGGTGATGGTGATGATGGTGATGACGATGACGACGATGATGATGATGATGATGATGATGATGATGATGATGATGATGATGATGATGATGATGATAGATAGATGCTGATGCTGATACTGGTGATGAGTGTAATGGTGATGTTGTTAATGATAATGATAATGATGATGATGCTGATGCTGATGATGATGCTGCTGACCATGCTGATGGTGAACATGATGATGTTGATGATATGATGATGATTATTCTTTTGATTATTATGATGACGATGAGGATCATGAGGTGCATGAACATTGCAAGTATGATTTTTGTTTTTTTGCTCATGAATGTTATCAGTACTGTGATGGTGATGATGATGCTGATGCTGATGATGATGAGGAGGAGTAAGAGGGGGATGACGACGGTGATGATGATGCTGCTGCTGCTGATGATGATGATGATGATGATGATGATGCTTTTCTTTTTTTTGGTAAAACAGGTTTTACCTTTGCCCAAAAAATCAGGGGCGGGTGGTAAACAAAACATCGTAACATAGGTTACTTTGGCGAATCGTATATCGGTAAGTCTACAGCGTACCTCCCGATTAGAACACCATTGTCGACCAATATGTACCCTCGGGTGCAGTACAGGAGTTACTAGTTTGATGTTTCAATCGATCCCAAATTCGATCTTATTCGTCATTCGTGCCTCGTTCCTCGATAACACATTCGTCACTCGTGCCCCGCCTATAGTCAAGGTCTGTGTCTTCTTGTCTTCTACTCGATAATACAGTCGTCTCTCGTGCCTCGTTCCTCAGCCCTCTGAGGGCTTCGTCTCTGCCCAGTAAGGAGGAGGAGGAGGAGGCAGATGAGGAGCAGGAGGAGGCGGAGCAGGAGGAGGAGGAGGACGACGAGGACGAGGACGACGGGGAGGATGGGGATGATGTGATGGGACCCGCCCACAGGGTCCTAAACCGAGGAGTGACCGCCTGGCGTTAACAAGTCGAGAGGCCTGGAGTTTTGGATCGGGGCCTCCGAGGAAGTCCCGCCCCAGAGGCAGTTCCCAGGCCCCCTCTCGGAAACCATCTCTGGTCGCTTATTCGAGCTGCTGCGTCCAGCCGTGGCCGCGATGCCCCCGCCCCTCCCTGGTGGCATCAAAAGGCACGCGCCGCCAAATCCTTCCTCCTCCATCGTCCCTCCCCTCTCCTCCTCTTCCTCTTCATCCTCCTGCTCCTCCTGCAACCCTGACGTTTAGAGCGAGACAGAGAGAGAGAGAGAGAGAGAACAAGTTTGTGTTTCTGGCCTGTTTGCGCGTGTATTTTCTGCGCATCTGGTTGTTTGCTTGGACTTCTGTGTGGCATGCGTTTGCGCAAACCAGAGGTCCAATCAACAACCTCCCTCCAATTCGTCGGGGGGAGAAGCGATACCACAGCAGCGGGCCACCTTCAGCGAGGAGGTCCACGATGCTGTTACGAGCTGGGAATTCGAGATGCCTCGATCGATGCACCGCAAGACAGGGGGACCACATCGCTTTGCCCTCCCTGGCTGGTCGCGATGATTGGGCCTCTCCTCCGACGCCGCATGTGTCTCATGTCGCGAGCCCCTGGGTATCTAGAACTCTGCCCCGGAGCATGCCTTTCATCCCGTGTCGGTTTCCTGACGGTCCCAGGGCCAAGACACGGCCTCCAGAGGCAGAGCGAATAGAAAGCCGTCAATCGCGTTTGTTGTTGTTGCTGTTGTTGCGGCTGCTGTTGCTGTTGCTGTTTTTTGTTGTTGTTGCTGCTGTTGATGTTGTGTTTGTTGTTGTTGCTGCTTTTGTTGTTGCTTTTGTTGTTGTGGTTGTGGTTGTGGTTGTTGTGGTTGTGGTTGTTTTTGTTGTTGTTGTTGTTGTTGTTGTTGTTGTTGTTGTTGTGGTTGTGGTTGTGGTTGTTTTTGTTGTTGTTGTTGTTGTTGTTGTTGTTGTTGTTGTCGTCGTCGTCGTCGTCGTCGTCGTCGTCGTCGTCGTTGTTGCTGTTGTTGTTGTTGTTGTTGTTGTTGTTGTTGTTGTTGTTGTTGTTGAACTCTCATTTCTGAAGAAAAATTATTGTTGATCCCCCACCGGTGCATACCGTTGTTGACAGGGAAAGTCTTGATGCTCAATCTGCGCCCCTGGCCCCCGGGTTACAACAACGTCGGCTCCCGCCTGAGACTCCCTCACAATTTAGCCAGGACCCCCGCTCCCGCCCGAGACTTCCTCGCATTTTATTCAGGAATCGCGCTCTCGCTCAGGACCTCCTTACAATTTATTCAGGAATCGCTCTCCCGGCGCTCTGGAGTCGCGCTCTCGCTGGAGACTTGCTTGCAATTTACTGAAGAATAGCGCCCTTGCGTTGGAACTTCCTGCAATTTGCTCAAGCGCTGCGCTCCCGACACCCAGGCACCCAGGAGTCGCGCCCGTTATGGCCCCATGTGCATGCCCTTCGTGGCCCCGCTGTCGCCGTTTGTGGCCCCCTCACTGTCCTACGTGGCCCAGTTGCTACCCTCAGTGGCCCCATCATTGCCTTCTGTGGCCCCGCATTATCTGCCCTTCGTGGCCCCCGCTCGTTCGCGCTCTTCGTGGCCCCATACGCATTCCCTCCGTGTCCCCGCTGTCGCCCTTCGTGGCCTACTTCGTGTTCGTGTGGCCCTGCTGTCGTTCTCACTCGCTCTCGCTTTCGCTCGTCGTCGGCCGTTCGTCGTCGTCGCCCGCGTCGTCCGACGTCATCGTTCGTCGTTCGTCGTCGTGTCGTGGTCGGTCCCCTGTCGTCCTATTGGGGCTCGGGTCGACGGTCCGCGGCGCCCCCGCCGATCAGCGCTGCCGCTGGCCAGGCCGGACGGGTCCGCGGGCCGCCCCGCCGCTCTTGCCGGGGCCCGGCCTGCAGGGAAGAAAGGTATACCCCCCAATAGGGGTTCGATCGAAGACGAAGAGGGCGGGTATCGAGGGTTTGGGAAATACGCTTTATTGGACACTCGAGCAGATAAGGGCGAACAGTCTCAAAATGGTTGTTGTTGTTGTTGTTGTTGTTGTTGCTGTTGCTGTTGCTGTTGCTGTTGCTGTTGCTGCTGTTGTTGTTGTTGTTGTTGTTGTTGTTGTTGTTGTAGTTTTTGTAAGTGCCCCCCACCTCCTCGAGGCATGGTCGGCAGTCGGCTTTGTGTGGATCTACTACACGCAGTACCTCCTCTACGCGCGCGTGAACGAGTTGTACGAGTCGGAGGGCCTGGCTCCGCCCCTGCACGCCCGGCGCCCAGAAGAAGGACCACAAGATGGCGACGACGACGACGATCGCGACGACGACGAGGACGAGGACAAGGACGAGGACGAGGACGAGGACGACGACGACGACGACGACGACGACGACGACGACGACGACGACGACGACGACGACGACGACGACGACGACTGCGACAGTGACCCTTGGCCTGCGGACCTGCCGGTGCGGGAGGAGGGAGGGGGGAGGAAGAAGCAGCGCCCCTGCTTGCCTTGGAAAGTGGCCCTGGAAGTGCCTCGGGGGGAGGAAGAAAAAGAAGACACGCCCCTTCTTGCCGTGGAGGTGGCCCTGCAAGTGCGTCCACCTCCGCTGGCAGAGCCCCCTCTCCCGGCCTGGACTGCCGCAGCCGGACGAGGCGGTGCTGCGGGCAGGGCAGCGCAGCGCAGGCAGGCAGCCGCCTTCGCATGGGCTCGTGCCCACAGGCGGGCGCCCGGGCCATGTGCCAGGCAGGCCGTGGGCCAGGCGGCGGCGGCGGCGGAGGGTAGCCCCCCCCTTCTCCCATGTGCGCTGTTTCGAGGGGTTCGTAGTTGGACTGACGAGCGAGAGAGAGGGCAAACAAAAAGAAAGAGACCTGCCCCAGCCCTCCAGCTCATCTTGGGGGCGCCCAGGGCCACGGCCCCCCTGGGCCTCGTTCGGGCGGGAGGGGGGGGGCCCACCTCGTGGACGTGGAGGCCAGAGGGCGCCGCCCTCTCCAGGAGGCCGGGGGGCACCTGGGGCCGACCGGGCGGACGATGACGCGATGTGCCCCCCGTTGGGGCCTCGTCCGCCTCGAGATCGCGCGGCCAGGGCGCGCTCCGTGACCCAGTTCCTGGGGGGCAGCTGCCGAGAGCCAGAGGGCCTCGGACCTCTCAGCCTTCGATCGGGGGCCTCTGGACGGGGGCCACTGCCAACGGGGGTCAGCCAGAGCGCCGCTGGATCTTGCGGGCCCCCGCAGAGCCGGGGTCTGCACTGACCAAGATCAGCGCGCGGGGTCCCGCAGGATCCTGCAACGCCTGACGGACCAGGGCTTGCCTTGACCCGAGATCTCCAAACCCAGCCCCCCGACGTCGTGATTTTTTTCATGACGTCGACCCCCAGCGGACTGGACCCCTTCCCATGGGGCCGGCCTTTCGTCCCGAACCGTTTTTCTTTAACGGCCCCGAGGCCCGTGAGGGCCACCAGAGGCTAAAAATAGCCAAACACGTGGCGTCATGATTTTGACATATTTCGAGGGGAAGCATGCCACGCGTGAGTCAATGATGCAATATTAGATGTGGATCCGTGAGTGGAACGCTCTAAAATTGTCAATGTTGAGGATATGATGCTTCTTTTGTTTTTTGAGCTGGCTATGATGCCCGCTCGTGCCCACCCCGTCCCGTCGCCAGGGCCGTCGCATCCCTCCTATGATGGGGGTCTGGGCATCGAGGAAAACCTCCGCGCCAGGCCTGTCGTGGCCGCTCCCCAGGACCGGTTTTTCATCCCGAGCCGTTTTTTTGACGGTCCCGGGGCCCGGCGACTGCCGTCAGAGGCCGACAGTCGAGAAAAATGTCCGTTCTAGATTTTTTCAATGCGTTGGAGGATCGCGCCGCATCGCCGATGCATCGCCGATGCGGCTCGATGTGGAACCCGATTTGCTTCACGCCGACGTTGCCGATGCATCGCCGATGCATCGCCGATGTATCGGCGAAGCGGCGCGATCTTTCGACCCTATTTATTCGGGCCCCATCTAAGAGGCCTCTAAGTGGATGGGGTCGGAGGATCGCACCGCATCGCTAATACATCGGCGATGCGGCTCGATGCGGAGCCAGATTTTCTCCATGCCGACGTCGCCGATGCGTCGCCGACGTCGGCGATGGCCGATATTTCGGCGATGCATGGGCGATGCGGCGCGATTGTTCGACCCCATCTACTCGGACCCCATGTAGGAGGCCTCTACTCCTGGGGGCCTCTCGGGGGCGGAAGGCTCGGAGTTTCTGTTCGCGTTCCCTCTCTTTGGGCCCCTCCTTGGGGTCGCGTGGGGGCCCGCTTGGGCCGTCTTGGGCGCCTCTTGGACCGTCCTGGGGTTCTCTTTTGGGCCGTGTCGGGGCCCTCTTGGTGGCCTCTTGGGCCGACTTGGGGCGGTTTGGGGGGCCTCTTGGGCCGTCTTGTAGTATCGGGAAGCCGAAAAGACGAGAAAGCCAAACAATTCCCCAAAACTATTGGGGGAATCGATGATTTTTGCCTCTTGGGGCCCTGTTGGGAGGCCTCCTGGAGGGCTCCTGGAGGGCTCTTGGGGCGTCTCGGAGGCCTGTTGTGCCGGTTTGGGGCCATTTTGCATGTCTTCTAACGATCGTTCGGCGACTCGAGGCCCTCTTGCCCCCTCTTGGGGCCCTCGTGGGCTCCAAAGTCAAGCGGAGAGACGCGCTGGAGCCCAGAGGGCACGCGGGAAGTCCCGGTATATTTAAGTATTTGGTGTCCGGGCCATTTAAATTTTCCCAGGAATGGAGTGCGGTTCCAGGGATAAGGATGGCCTGAGGTCACGCCCGCTCCGTACCCAGATGCGCAGTGGCGGATGATTCGAATTGCGACACGTGGTTTTTGGACAGAGTGCGACTCATGTGTCGCAGGCGTGCCGTGCCGTACCGCGTCGCGCTTGGTATACAGTGCGAGTTTTGCACCATGCCGTGCATTCGGCTTGACACTGCGGTCGCATGTAGCCGAGGAGTTTGTGGCACGAGACCTTGCGAGGCGCGCGGATGTGCTCGGCGCTGCGGGTTTCATTGCGTTTTTGGCACCTCATGGAACTCGTGGATGCGCTCGGCGCCGAGGGTTCGTGGTGCTATAAGAGCATGTGAGGCGCGCGGATGTGTTCGGCGCCGAGGGTTGTGTGGTATTTCGAAATCTTGTGAGACGCGCGGATGTGCTCGGCGCCGAGGGTCGCGTGGCTCTCTGAGACATCGTGAAACCTTGTGAGACGCGGGATTTGGTTCGGCGCCGAAGGTCTCGATGTCATTATGACACATTGCGGGGCACGTGGATGTGCTTGGCGTCGAGGGATTCGTGACACCTCGAGGCCGCGTGAAACGCGCGGATGCGCTCGGCGCCGAGGGTTTCGTGGCACCTGGAAGCCGCGTGTGGCTCGCGGATGTGCTCGGCACCGAGATTTTCGGGGCACTTCGAGGCCCTCTGAGATCTCGTGAGACCGTTTGAAACCCCCATCAGGAGTCACCTGGCGCGTAAATTTGTGACAACGTATACAGATTATGAGGCCCATTCGATACTCACGCATTCTAGTGTTGAAGTATGCGTCGGAGACGTCTGAGGCTGGTTCGAGCATGGAGGAGCGGTTTCGCCTGGAGTTCGGCCTCCAGGGCCCGTTGTTGGGCCCGGGGGCCACCAGATGTGGATCCGGAACGACGAACCACCTCCGGGGAAGGGGTCGGGACCTCTTGGGGCCGCGGATTGGAGCAACCAGATTGGCGGATGTCCGGGTTGGTCAGGCCCAGGGCCGTCGGAGCTGCGCGGGCTGGGGGCGCCGCTCCGAGGTCTGGTGGCTGGTCTTCCCAGGCTTCAACCTCATCATCGGCCTGCGGCAGGTCCACTTCCTCTCGAAGTTCTGGGCCACCCAGCGAGGCTCGGCATCGCCGCGTGGCTCTTTCTTGGCGCCTTCGGGGGCCCTCGTTGCCGCAGAGGCTGGACGCAACCTCGAGCACTGGACTGGTCTGACGCTTCCCGGGGCCCGGGGATTGACTTCGAGCGGATTCGATCCAGGCCTCCTAGATGTGGCCGGAGCAGAGGGGGTCGGAGACTCGTGTCACACTGCCGATGCATCGCCGATGCGGCTCGATGTGGAGCCCGACTTGCTTCACGTCGACGTCGCCGATGCAAAGCCGACGTCGACGATGCATGGCCGGTGCATCGCCGATGCATCGCCGATGCATGGGCGATGCGGCGCGATCCTCCGACGCCATCTAATTATTCCGACCCCATTTAGACTCATTTAGACGGCCTCTACTTGATATGCCACCATGACGAGAGCAGGATTCGAGGGCTGGGGAGGGGACCCGGAGGCCGAAAATAGCGAAGAGCCTCCCGCCGTGATCTTTTCATAGCGCGAGAGGGGGTCTGGGATGTGCTGTGTCGCCAGGACGAGAGCAGGATTCCTGGTGGAGAGGGGTCCCGAGGTCTCTTGCGCCGTGTGCAGCGCCCAGGGCTCCCTTTCTCTCCACAGGGGCCCGAGGCCGTCGGCGAGAGCGGCTCAAGAGGAAGGCGCCAGGCCTGGGGGGACCCCGCGAATGGGAGGACCCAAACACGACAAGGAGGACCCAACACACGGCAGGAAAGGACCCAAAGGCGACAAGGAGGACCCAAACACGACAAGGGAGGACCCAAACACGACGAGACAGAGACACGTTTCACGAACACCAGCGCACCCATGACCCCCTGGGCCCAGGACCCGCTCCCATGGGGACGAGCCTCCCCGCCTTTCCAGAGAGGCGAGGCGCCCATGGCCGACGCCGTGGTCGACTTCTTCCCCTTCATCGGGAGCGAGCGCTACACCTGGCGCGAGTTCTTGCGGCGCCCCTCTCTCTGGTGCTCCCCCCTTCGGGACGTGCCGGATCTGGAGCTCGAGTTCTTGAAGGAAGCGTAGGGCCCCGTGCTGCGCGCGGAACGTCGTCGTCGTCGTCGACATTGGCGTCCCAGGCCACGACCGCCGGGTGTTCTTTGTCCTGGCCGTGACCTCTCGTCTTCCCAGACCCCCGACGTCATGCTTTTTTGTGATGACGCGGACCCCTGGCGGTCTGGACCCGCATCCTCCGGGACAGGTTGTGCACCCCGAGTCGTTTTCGGACGGCTCCGAGGGCCGGCGAGGGCTCCCAGAGGCGGGAGAACAGCGAGAAGCTCCCCGTCATGGTTTTTTTGATGGGCCTGTTTTTCCACCACCACCACCACCACCACCACCACCATGAGTTGGAGGGGGGAAGGAGGTGGAGGACGAGGAGGAGGAGGAGGAGGAGGAGGAGGAGGAGGAGGAGGAGGAGGACAAGGAGGACGGAGGACGAAGAGGAGGAGGGGAGGGAGGAGGAGGAGAGGAGGAGGAGGAGGAGAGGGAGGAGGAGGAGGAGGAGGAGGAGGAGGACCCCCTCCCCCTCCAACTTATGGCGGTGGTGGTGGTGGTGGTGGAAAACAGGCCCATCATTTTTCATGACCCCAGGGGGTCTGGGTTCGGAGCCTCGTTCAGGGGCGAGGCAGTGCATGGAGCCGCGCCGGCGCTCTCGCGGCGGGCCCGGGGCCCGAACGCTGCACACCGCCCGTGTGGCCCCCTCCCCTCGGCATCGGCTTCAGGCTTGTGGGGCCCCGGCTGCCCTCCGCAGGACCCCTCCTCGGGGCTGCCCCCACGCCCCATCTCGAGGCCTCCTACAGTCCCAGACATGATCGCGTCTAAGAACAATGAGGACGGCAAGCTTTTCATTAGTCTCGGCCCTTGGCGGCCCTCGCCGGGCCCCGGGAGCGTCAAAAAAGGACTCGGTGAAAAACTGGTCCCAGGGAAGGGGTCGGGACTTCCAGGGACGCCGTCCTGAAAAAATCACGACGTCGCATGTCTGGGGTCACAACTCATAGTAGGGACGCACGGTTGTCCGGGGAGCGCTCAGACCTCTGGCGCGGCGGCGTCCCGTGGCCCCCGCCGGGCTCCTCAGACTCTCTCGGGCCATGAATAAATCACGACGGGCAGTTTGTCGCTAGTTTCGGCCTCTGGGGGCCCTAACCGGCCCTCGGGGCTGTCAAGAAAGGACTCGGGACGAGAAACAGGTCCCAGAGAATGGGCCGAGACCTTTGGGGGTCGACGTTGTGGAAAGATCATGACGTCGGGGGTCTGGTGGGAGCACCTCTCCTGGGGCCCCGTCACTGCTGAGCAAGCGAAGAGACGTCAGACCATTTGGCAGGGAGCTTTTCCGCCAGTCTTCCTCCTTTTCGGGGCGCGGGCGGGTGGGCAACCGGGACCACTTGCACCCCCCTTGGAAACGCAGTGTGCCTGTTGCAGGCCGTGTCGAAGAATCGTCCAGGGGACCCCCTTGGGGTGGTCGGTTTCACATCCCGAGAGTTCCGAGGGTATTTTTCAGTCCGGCGTTTTCTCCTGGGTTTCGGGCTCCGGGGCCCGTTGTCGGACCCGGGGATAATCAGACATGGATCCGGGACGAAAAACCACCCCCGGGGAAGGGGTCGCGACACCTGGGGCCGCGGATTGAAGGAGCGGATGTTTGGGTCCCCGGTCCGTCTCTGACGGTTCGTGGCCCGAAGACGGCCCCCGGAGGCCACGAGTTACGAAGCACCGAAGGCGACAAGAACAAACAGATTGACGACGAATGCTGCGTTGCTTTCTTAGGGCAGTGTGCCTCTGGGTGCTGTCTGTGCTCAGCGCCCAGCCTTGCCTGCCCTCCTCTCCCAGGCGAGAGGACGGGACGGCCATGGCAAAAAGGACTCCTGATGCGTTTTTGTCCCCCGATGCGGGTCCCTGCCCCCTCGACTCCCATCCCTAGAGGGCCACGTCGTCTTAGTTGGTCATCGTTTGTAGCTCGTCAGGCATCGTGGTTTAGTGAGGCACCGTTTTTGTTGGGCATCGTTTTTAGTGAAACGTCGTTTTAGTTGGGCACCGTGCTTTGGTGCAGCGTCTTCTTGGTCCTGGGACCCGGACACGAACCCCAGATGACAGCGTCGTGGGCCGAAGACAGCCGCGCTTTTGTCTGGCTGCGACGCTGGATGTCTGGGGCAGGCAGTGTGCAATCTCGGGCCCCCGCGCGGACGTGCCCCGCGCCTGCGGCCCTCCGCCGGGCCGCGCTGCGTATGCCGCTCGACCAAAGGAGGTGGCCGCGCGCTTGCATCTCTGGCTCCCGTGCGTGCCCTTCCCTCTGCCTCCTTCGTCTCCTGGAGGCGGAGGCGAAAGCGGAGGAGGAGGCGGAGGCGGAGGCGGAGGAGGAGGAGGAGGAGGAGGAGGAGGAGGAGGTGGAGGAGGAGGAGGAGGAGGAGGAGGAGGAGGAGTGGGAGGAGGAGGAGGACGAGGGGGGGGGAGGAGGGGGAGGAGGAGGAGGAGGAGGAGGAGGAGGAGGAGGAGGAGGAGGAGGATCAGGAGCAGGAGGAGGAGGAAGAGGATGAGGAGCAGGAGGAGGAGAAGGAGAAGGATGAGGATGGAAGGACGGGAGGTGGAGGGGGGAGGGCGTGGGGAAGCAGCAGGAGGAGGAGGAGCTGGCGGATGAAACTGGATGATGATGCTGATGCTGCTGCTGATGATGATGCTGATGCTCATGCTCATGCTCATGCTCATGCTCATGCTCATGCTGATGATGATACTGCTGATGCTGATGATGATTTTGAGGATGAGGATGATGATGCTGATGATGATGGTAGTGGTGGTGATGATGCTAGTGATGATGCTGATGATGATGCCGATGATGATTACGGTGGTGGTGATGATGCTGATGATTCTGATGATTATGATGATGCTAATGATGATGCTGATTATAATGATGATGCTGACACTGATGCTGCTGCTGATGATGATGATGATACTGATGCTACTGATGATGATGACGGTGATGATGCTGATGATGCTGATGATGGTGGTGATGGTGACGATGACGGTGACGGTGACGGTGATGGTGATGATGATGGAGATGCTGATTATAATGATCATGATGATGATGATGATGATGATGATGATGATGATGATGATGATGATGATGATGATGATGATGCGATGCTGATTATGATTATGATGATGATGATTACGATGATGATGATGATGATGATGATGATGATGATGATGATGATGATGATGATGATGATGATGATGATGATGATGATGATGATGATGATGATGATTATTACGATGACGATGAGGACTAATCAACGACGATATTGATGGCGATGGTCGCGGTGATGGTTGTGGTGTTGTTGATGATGCTGATGATGGTGATGGTGATGTTGACGATGACGATAACCATGATTTTGTTGTTGAGCTCGCATTTCCGAAGAACCCCCCGACAGGCGCACATTTGGTTTTCCAACTGCAGTGTCTCCCCCGTGGCTCACATTTGTTTTTGTTTAGAGGACAGTCTTCGGCTTAAACTGCGCGTGTTGGCCCCTATGTTACAGCAACATCGGCTCCGGCCTGATATTTCCCGACAATTTTCCCCAATCAGCGCTTGCACTTAGGGGTTCTTATTTCTCTTCTGAGGAATTCGGCCTGGGGGTCGGTCAGGCCGGCTTGTTGCCGCCGTCGCCGCCCGCTGCTGCTGTCCTGCGCCGCTGCTTCTGGGCTTGAGGGTGGGTCGCCGCGCTGGCTGACGCCGTCGTCGCCCGTCGCCGCTGTCCGTCGCCGCCGCTCTGGGGTCTGGGGGTGAGTCGCCGCAGTGGCTGTCGCCGTCGCCGCCCGTCGCCGCCGCCCCTGGTCCCGTCGCCGCCGCCCCACTGCACCCCCCTTCGTTGCAATCCAATCGATTGCAATCGAATCGAATGCAATCTGTAGGGTGCAATCCGTAGGTTGCACAGCAGATGTTGCGCATCGCATAGATTGCACCGCGTTGTCTGCACCACATCTTTTTTCCTGTCTAAGAAGGAAAAGCAGGAACCACCACCCCCCCGAGGCCAGACCAAACGGTATACCTTTTCGTATGGCAATTTACATTTGATTCCGCCCCATCGTCCCTCTCAGGGGGGCTGGTATCGACCCCCCTGCCATCCTCTGCAACAGAAATACTATGCGCTCGCACTCGTTTAAACAAAACTCATCAGTTTTCAAGAATCCATTGCGCAAAACAGGACGAAATGCGCACGCGCGCGTCGTCGCGCGCGCACGTCGAAATTCTTCAAAAACCTTTGGTTTCGCAAGGATCTCAAAATCGTGTGTCCAATAGACATATATAAAGACACCGGGTTTCGCAACACTTATTTTCAAGACAAGCTTGTGCGCGCGCTCTTGCGAATTCTGAAGAACACCATCGGTTTTCCAACATGTCATGAAATGCTAACAAAAGGACTCTGCGCGCGCGCATGTTGAATTTGTTCGAACGCCATTTGCGCGCGTGCTGTCGCAATAACCCTTTGTAACAAATGGGACGACGTGTGCACGCGCGCGTCGTCGCGCGCGCATGCCGAAATCAGTTAAAACCTTGTGTTTCGTATTGATTTCAAAATCGAGTGTCCTGAAGCCATACAAACACACATGGTTTCGCATCATCAGTTTTCAAGAAAGCTTGCGCGCGCGCTCTTGCGATTTATCGGGGGAACCAGAGTTTTTTGTGTTTGTTTTTTGTTTTTTCTTCTCAACATTATCATTGGGTTATGATGAGCGGGCCTCTCGCGCCGCATGCCGAAGTCATTCGAACGCCTTTGCGCGCGTGCTGGGGGGGCACGATCCGTTTCAAATGATACCATGCAGCCATTCTCGCGCGTCGGCCGCGCGCGCACGTCGAACTCTTTCCAAAACCTCCATCACCGACGCGAGGACGCCGTCATCGTCGTCGGCATGATCAGCATCGGCGCCGTCACTGGCCGTGCCGTCGTCGCTGTCAGCATCGTCGCCAGCATCGCTACTATCATCATCGTGTCTACCGTTGTTGACTTTGCCATGATACCGCGCCCGCCGAAGTCGCCGATTCGCACTGAAGTGCCCGCCCGCTGGGATGTGCCGAGCGGTCAGCGCCACCGCGTTCGCGTCGGTCGCGCCAAACAAACTTGCTGGCCACTGCGCGCGCGTGCATGCGCGGACTGGCGCGGCCGCAGAGATCACCAGCCAACGCCAGGCAATCATCGCAACCGCCGCCGCATGGGGTTTGCAAATCAAGTTGCGGGTGGGTGGGTGGGTGGGATATTTGCGCGAGCGGTGGAGTGGAGAACTCACTGCGGACAGAAAATAATTGCACCGCTTAGATTGTCCTTCGCAGATTGCACCACATATGTTGCACAACGTAGGTTGCACAGCATAGATGACATAACGCAAATTGCACGTATATGTCACCACATAGCTACCACAACATATTTTGCACTACGTATTTTGCATCACATTTTTTGCACCACGTAGGTTGCACAAAAGATCACACAACACATGTACATCTATTGTACCACGCAGATTGTCTTCTTATTCTCCTTTCCAAACAAAGAAATAGGTCCTACCCCCCCATCGGGGTTAAATGTTCACCTTTTTCGTATTGCAATTTGCATTTGATTCTGCCCTATCGCCCAGCCCAGATCTGAATTTTCATCATCCCAGCGGGGCCGGTATCGCCCCCCCGCCAGTTTCTGTAACAAAAAAGTTATGCGCGCGCATTGGTATATCACAAAGCATGAATTTCCAATAATGCTTTGCAAACAATGGGACGAAGTGCGCACGCGCGCGTCGTCGTGGGCGCATGCCAAAATCGTTCAAAAACCTTCGGTCTCGGAAGGATTTCAAGATCGACGGCCCAACAAACATATAAAAACACAGGGTTTCGCAACGCGAATTTTCCAAACCAAAAAAAAACATGCGCGCGCGCTCTTGAAAGCCGTCGGTTTTCCAATGTTTTCGTACCGAACGGGTTTCGCGCGCGCGTGTCGGAATCGTTCGATCGCCCTTGCGCGCGTGCCGTCGCGAGAATCCCTTGCAACAGAATGAAACGAATTTGTCGCGCGCGCGCACGCCGGAATCCTTTAAAAACCTTCGGTTTCGTAAGGATTTCAAAGTCGAGTGTCCAAGCAACATGCAAAAACACAAGGTTTCGTAACACGGATTTTCAACAAAAGCGTGCGCGCGCGCCTTTGCGTATTTCCTTAATATTTCAATATTTCCATAACGTGCTAATCAAACGAGCTTTGCGCGCGCATGTCGAAATCGTTCGAGCGCCCTTGCGCGCGTGCTGGGGTGGCACGATCCGTGTTACCATGTGAGCCACTCTTGCGCGTCTGCCGCGCGCGCATGTCGAATTCCCTCCACAGCCTTCATCGCCGACGCGAAGACGCCGTCATCGTCGTCGGCGCGAGCAGCATCGGCGCCGTCACTGGCCGTGCCGTCGTCGCTGTCAGCATCGTCGCCAGCATCGCTACTATCATCGTCGTGTCTACCGCTGTCGACGTTGCCATGATACCGCGCCCGCCCGAGTCGCCGACTCGCATTGGGGTGCCCGCTGGGATGTGCCGAGCGGTCAGCACCACCGCGTTCGCGTCGGTCGCGCCAAACTAGCTGGCCGCTGCGCGCGCGTGCGTGCGCGGACTGGCGCGGCCGCAGAGACGCACTAGCCAATGCCAAGCAGTCATCGCAATCGCTTCCGCATGGGGTTTGCAAACCAAGTTGCGGGTGGGTGGGTGGGTGGGTTGTTTGCGCGAGCAGTGGGATGGACAACTTCAAGTTGAGCGTTGGTGAATTGCGCCGCGTAGTTCGCACCGGATACAGTGCGCAACATCTGTTGCCCCGCATAAATTGCACCACGTCGACATTGCGCACCAGATATATTGCACCACGTTGGTTGCACCACATAAATTGCGCAGCATATGTCGCGCCACATTTGTTTCATCACAGTGTTTGCGCTTCGTATGTTGCGCAACATTCATTGCATCACATCGATTGCATAACGTCTATGATCCTATCCAGTATAGTAGGATCTACCCCCCCAGGGGTTTGCATGTGATTCTGCTTCATCGTCCATCCTAAGTGTGAACTCGTACCATCCCAGGCAGGCCGGTATCGGTCCCCCCTGCGTTCCCTGCAGCAGATCATGTCCAAATTTGTTAAAAAATGATGATCCCCCCCTTCCCTCCCCCCCGGATTCCGACTGCCATTAATTCGCCGCCGAATAATGTTTTTGAGTTGGCCCCATGAATGATTTTCCACGGATGCCGAAGGATGCGATTGAAACGTGCACACATGTATGTTTGTATGCGCACATTTGAATGCACACGCACGCGCGCGCATGCGTTGGCATATGCGCATGACTTGTGTGCGTGCAGATGTGCAGGCCTCTTCGGTCGACGAGTGCTCGTTCTCGCCTTACTGGGACACTGTGCCCGCGCGACTGCGCGCGCGTGCGCGCCGCGGCGTCCAGTTCTCGCGCTCGGTAGTCCTTGGTGCCTGCTGGGCCCAGCGCCGCCGCGCGCGCCTCCCGCGCGCGGCGTGCGCGCGCGCGGTTTTCCACTCCGGATCACGCGTCTGGCTTCCGCTTTCGGTGCGGCCAATTCCGCGGGGCCTCCGCGTGCGCGGCGGCCCCCGCAGCCGAAGCGCTGCGGCCTTGCCCTTCGCGCATTGCGCGTTGTCCCGCACAGACTGGGCCAGGGCCCCCGCGCACCCAGCGGCCTCGCCTTTGCGCGTGGTCTGTGTTCCCCGCACAGAATGGATCATTGCAGCCGCGCACCCGCTTATCACAAATCACCAGGCTGCAAGAGTCCCTCGTGAAACGTGAGACGCAGTGCGCACGCACGCGTCGTCGCACGCGCGGGCCGAAATCTTTCAAAACCGTAGGTTTCGTAAGAATTCCAAAATCGAAAACCACGAAAACACATGACATGAAAACAGTTGGTTTCATAACAAAGGTTTCCAACCCAATTTTTGATGACACCATATGTGTTTCAACATCGCCATGCGATACCACAAACGGGCCTCTTTCGCGCGCGTGCCGAAATCGTTGGGCGGGTGTTGTCTCAAGAATCCCTTACCAAAAGAACACGGGATGACGTGCGCGCGCGCGTCGTCGCGCGCGCATGCCGGAATCTTTCAAACAACCATGGGTTTTCAGGGAGCCAGAGACGGGGTAACAGCAGACGGGGTAATAGGAAACGGCCGGTTCGAGGCATCAGATGGCCTTTTTTTGTTGCAGTGCAGTTTTGTTTTGATTTCGCGTTCGATGCAGCACCTTCACATGCTGGTTGCGTTGCGCATTTTCGGCTGCTGCACTTCAACTTTTTGTTTTGGGCCCTCTGCTACCTGGTTTGTGGGGTTTGTTTGCAGTTTTTCCGCAACTAGTTGTCATCAAATCGCAGTGTATTTTTTCGCGTTGCAGAAAAATGCAATGCATCTTTTTTCCTGGTCGTTGGAGTTTTTCCACCTGGATCCCATGATGGGTCTGTTACCCCTTTAGGCGTTACCCGATTTATTGCTCCTTGAGTTTTGCATGGATTTCAGAAACGAGTGTCCCGAATACATAACAACACGTGTGGTTTTGTAACATCAGTTGTCAAAGAGCCAGCGCTCGCGGACCTGCGGATTCTTGAGACAATTATATATATATAGATGTATATATAAAACATGTTCATCACATTTTGTCAAGCGGGCCTCTCGCACTGCATGTCGAGCTCATTCGAACGCCGTTGCGCGCGTGTTTTGGGGGGGCGCGATCCGTTTCAAATAATACCATGCGGGCCACTCGCGATTGTCGGCCGCGCGCGCATGTCGAACGCCTTCAAAAACCTGCTTCGCCGACGCGATGACGTCGCCATCTTTTTCGGCGGGCGTGATCGACATCGGCGTCGTCGTTGGCCTTGCCGTCGTAATCGCCACCATCGCCACTATCATCGCTATTCTCATAATCGTGTCTACCGCTGTCGGCGTCGCCATGATACTGTGCCCGCCCAAATCACCGCCTCGCATTGAAGTGCCCGGTGGGAAGTGCCCAGCGGTCCGCGCCACCGTGGACGTGTCGGTCGCGCCAAACTAGCTGGCCGCTGTGCGCGCGAGCGTGCGCGGGCTAGCGGCCGCAAAAATGCACCAGCCAACGACAAGCACTCATAGAAACCGCCGCCGCATGTTTTTTGCAAGCCAAAGTTGCGGGTGGGTGGGTGGGATGTTCGCAAGAACATGGGATTCGTCAATTTGTTTGTAAAAATCAATTGCACCACGTATGTTGCACTACTCATATGGCAAAACGTAGGTAACTCCACATAGGTCGCGCAACGCCTATTGCTAGAAACGTACTGCTTGGGGTCCACACTGGCTTTGCACTTCGCAGCACAATTATGCATGTGACGGTCCTGAGGCATCGTGCTTGTGGCAGCTTGGTCACGTTTTGGCTACCTCGGTTGCCTTGTCGGTAACCGTTGCTAGCCCCGTAGAAGCCTCAGCTGTGTACTCCTGACTTTTCCAACGCGTCAGCGGCCCATTATCATTGATTGTGTCGGCGAGGTTAAGCCGCGAACGCGTCAGTCAATGCTCGGCGTACACAACGTATGATTCCACGGGGGCAGTAGCTCTTATCAAGGGTTGGCTGAGGTTGACAAGGGGTTGCGATGCTGCTGCAACCTAAGCAAACCTTGAGCTCATCCAGGGGCCGAACATTACGAACACGCCCCTGCCCCCGAGGAGGAGGAGGAGGAGGACGCAGAGATCCAGAGGATGGATTTTCCCTGAACGGCTTGTCCGTCAGGTTTTTGTTGGGTGTGTGTTGTTGTGTTGCTTGTCTGTTCTCGGGCCCAGGGAGGGACGACGAGCCCCCCTAAATCGGAGCCTCATCGTGGCCCTCCGTCGTTTTCCCCATCGCTGCCCCACATCGCTGCCCCCCATCGTCGCCCCCCATCGTTGCCTCCCATCGTGGCCCCCCATCGTGGCCTCCGGCTGGTTACCCCCCCATTGCGGCCACCCCGTGGTGCTCTTTGCAGTGCTCTGTCTTGGGGTCTTGAACTATCGAGAGCGCCCTTTGGGGTCTTCTGCCGCCGGGGTGTGGATGTTCCAGAGTCCGTTCGGCCCCCCAGCTCTCGAGCCCCGCTGTTCCAATCCTCTCGGGCCCGGGCCCCCTCACTAAGAGCCAGGCGGCCCCCGGGGCTCAAACGCTCCCCTCTCTCCCTCCCTTCCCCCCCCAAGCGGGGCTCTCAAGAGGCATCTCTGGGGCTCGCAGGAGGCCGCAATCGTGTCCCCCGAGCCTTGCATATTTTTTGATGGGCCGGGGGTTTTCGCAATGTCTTCCCTCCCCTTTGGCCCACGGGGGCCAGATGTTCAGGAGGGACAGAAACACAGACACAATTCATCGTCGATTCCCCAGAAAATATGGGAAAATATGGGAAGTGTGGGGGAAGACGAGAGCCCAGGAAATATGGGAAAATATGGGGGATCCTGTCATTTGTGTGTATTTATTTGTGTGTCCCAGGGCCTCTTCAGATGTGAGGGAACAGAGGCGGTGGGACCGAAACATCGGTCCCCCGCGCTGGCGGCTCTTCCCCCTCCCCGTCCCTCTCCCCCTCCTCCTCCTCCTCCTCCTCCGCCTCCTCCTCCTCCTCCTCATCCTCCTCCTCTCCCTTCCTCCTCCTCCTCCTCCTCCTTCCGTAGCCATTTTGGCTCAAGTTGAAATCGTCGCCCCGCGGCTTCAGCTTGAATCATAGCCAAGGGGCTGGCCCGAGGTGCGGCCAGTCGACAGGCGGCTTTGCAGGCATTTTGCCCCACTCTTCTCCATCATTCGGACCTCTCCAGTCTGTCCGCTGTACGCTGCCATGCCGCCGCGAGGTGTCAAGAAAGCGGAGAAGGCGGAGACCAAGCATGAGCGGCGCCGTGGTGGCCACTCATCTGTCAGCCCGACTCCGATGAAATCCGAGCGTCGAACGAGCCCGTCACGGGTCGACATGAGTCCAGCCAGAACTTGTTCTTCGCGACGCAGCGGTTCATCTTCTTTGTCTCCCGCTCCAGCCAGGCCTCCGAACTGGATGCGCATGCTGATCGACGACATCAAGGAGACGAACCAAAATATTGGCAACATGGAGGTCTCCGTCCAGGCCGACATGAATGTGGTGCGCGCGTCGCTCGCCAGTCACGACCAGAACTACCAGAACCTGCACGCTGGCTTAACTGAGATTGAGCACGGCACCGCGGCTTCCATCACACATGCTGTTCAAGAAGCAGTTGAATCCAGAGTTCATTCCATCACGGAGCAGCTCCAGTCGCTACGCTCCAACTCATCCGCATCGGTGGCGGGCAGTACTCTGATGTCAGACGATCTCCCACGACGCCAAGGGCCTCCTATTGTGCAGACGCGCAGGTGAATCGGCACCTTTCCTAGATGCCTCACATCTCAGCAGAGGCTGGACCACTGGGAAAAGTTCGTGAGGCAGCAATTGCCCGTCCATCTTGTTGCCGACGCCTCTCTCAAGATCGCTAGAGTTGCTAAATCTGAATTCTATCGAATTCAGTACGGAGGAGAACGCCAGCGCCTTCGCCAACCTGCGCAGTGGGCTCGACATCTCGTGGACCGACCCGCGGAACCAGAGGCCCAGCATCATTCGTGTCAGAGGCGACCTCCCCGTCGACGTACGTGATCGGCAACGCGCTGCCAGCATGATATGGCATCAGACCATGGATCTGGTCAAAGCAGGAGGGGGATCCACGCACGCCTACAAGCTTGGGGTCAACGGCTACCAGGGCCTCATCCACCTTTCGTCGCCCGACGACGTATACGAGCTCTTCTGGATCAAGGGCTCCGCCGAGACTGCCTACCAGTACGACCCCGTCCTAGAGAGCTTCCGCGAATGGAACGTGAGTGACCAGGCCGTGCTCGACATGTCGCAGAGGGTGTCCCACAGCACGCGGTCCCGCTAGGGGTCGACTGATCGAGATCGCATTCATGGGGATCGTGAACAGGACCAGCCACGTGGTGTACTACTGCATGTGCGCGAGGAGGGCCTCTGGGAGCCGCCTGGTAGTGCGCTGCAGTCTGAGCCTGCCTTTGGCGCGCGCTTCTGTTTCTGCTAGTCCTCCTCCGTTTCCCATCCCTCCTCGTCCCAGTGGCCCTGCAGATGCTCTCCCTTTTCCCCGCTCTGAAGGTTCTCTCAAAGTTACGACGTGGGATGCCGCGCGTTGTTCGGAAGTATGTGGGCCTCTGCCGAGATGCAAACCCGTACTTTTGGTTACTTCAAACGTCTGTTGAAAAAAGCGCGATTTCGTTATGGTCCAAGAAACCCGCGGCAATGAAGCTGATCTTGTGGATCTGCAGAGGCGGTCCCCGAGGTTCCAGATGTTTGGTTCGTTCCTGGATGCCGAAATCGCTGGAGGCGTGGCCATCATGGTGCGCGATCGGAATGCATGTCAGTTTCAAGGTCTGCAGGTGCCCGAAGTGGTTGCAGGTCGCATCCTCGTGGTGCGGCTTCTCGGGCAGGCAGGCGATCTCCAGCTCGCCAACATGCACCTCGACCCCAGTGAGTCCCATACCTTTCTGAAACATCAGATGATTGCTACTGCCCGCGCAGCCCTCGGCAACGCAGAAGCCACCGCTAGCCTGGCAGGGGATTCTAATTTTTGTGCTGGTGGCGAAGGCCGGCTCAGAGTTCGAGATGGCGCATCTACCCCTGCCTCTCCTCACCTCTTCAACTACTTTCTGGGCCAGTTCCAAGGGCATGCGGAAATATTCCAGCCTGACCGCGCTCGCAAAACGATCAGGGACGATAGAGTTATTTCAGCGGGGGGGATTGATCGGATTTAC